CTGCTGAAGCCTACGGGATAAATATCGTAGGCGCTGAGAAGGAGACTAACGGTAGGTTGGGCAACAGAATCTCCTTAGCCGGCGTTATATCCTTTCCACCTGTATTGTACTTAGGAGATACACTCGACCAATAGAAAGTGGGTTTATATCATTATCGTTGCGTAAATATCTTGCCGTCAAATTCTTCAAACTGCCTGACGCCGGCGCGAGGCCTTGAAGGAGCGGCCATCTGCCATGGCTTGGCGATATATCTATGCTGTTCAGCAACAGACTAAAGATAGCATCGCATTATTGGAGCTGTGAGACTGGCAATCGATGCTTGAGAAATCCACGCTAAGAAAGATGTGACCGAATCTACCAGGTAGGAAGATATCCAACATATCTGCGCTAAGCATATACTAGGTAAAAGAATGTTGGCCATTGGCGCAATAGGAGCCTAACCACTGGAACCAACATCACTACGTTGAACCAACATCGATAACGATAAATACACGCGTTCTGTCGTCCCAGACTGTCGGTACCCAATAGAAATTATTCTAGATTATTTCGGGCCCGCAAGACGACAGGGCATACGGGGTTTTGCCGACCACCTCCTCACTTGGGTAATTTCTTCGGACCGCTCGTTTATTCGATTTTTACCGAGAACTGTGATGAAACAACGAGTCGCCAGTACGGTGAAATTCGCGGCGCGTCTGGTGCAAGGGACCTTTCTATTATAAACTTGTTAGATTCAAGGGGTCACTTAAGTCAAGCTGATATAGCAACTGTTGGTTAATGTGTCTGGCATTGTCTCTCTACTTCTCTACTCCTAGGGACTCGTCCCCAAGGGCGCTTATTCTATTGCCCGCTTTGACTAGGCTGACCTAGCTACGCGGCTATGGATGGCCGCAATCTATAGTCGACTCAGATCTTGAATTTGCCGCCTCTCAGCCCACCAAGCTCCCGATGCGTCTCTACCGCCTGCCCGAACTTTTACTTAGATAGCAATTTATTAGCCTTCCAACACAGGTTGAGCCAACAGACGGAGGCGGCTAATCTATACATATCATCGTGGCCAGTCTACTGCCTCGGTATGCCAACCGCATTGTAGTACGCATCAATATCTTACTTCTGAGGCTCCTGTTCAAAATCGTCAATATGGCCACCCAATCGAATTACTATGCTGTTTATAAGCTTCGTTTTAATCTTGCTATGCAAGACCCCGACGTCCCCGGCACACGATACCACACCGTCCTCTTCGTCGAGACCAACCCAGATAAATCTGGGAGGATGTACCACGTTACGGGAGACATCACATCCGGTATGACCTTCGATACAAAGTCATACCACAACCCAGAACTGTCGCAAAACCTCCACACTAAGGAATTCATTCTTGCAACAGTTCCTGCTCCCGAGAAGCAGAAAGCGTTCAATATCAGAACTATGAAAACGGAGCCATTCAAGACTTGGGATCCGTTGACTTTCTATGAGCCCGGAGAGCAACGACGACCCCTTTTCAAGTGCACGGAGTGGACCGAGCAGAGAGCTATCCCGGCTCTCAAACAAGCCGGGCTCATTATTTCAGCACCAGGGGGTTCTGGTACCGGCGCGCAGGCAGGACAGGCAGGGCATGGTGCGCAGGCCCACGCCCAGGAAGGGGATGGGCAGAACGGTTGGGTCTGGGACACTACTCATCGTCGGTACAGGCGTTGGGACGGCGTGACTAGACGGTGGATTTGGCAAAAGTAGTCAATGATTTCCTTAGGATTAGGAGTGCTATGTAGGCCGCTGGCGGTCTCTCGACATCTAGTGTGTAATCTAGTGTGTAGCTGGCTATAATATATGTGCTGTTTAAAAATCCAAGTCCTGCCGAACTAGTCGCAGTACTGCTGCTTCTGAAATGTAGGGATCGATGATGCGCTCGACATGCTCCGGCCAAGTATCCACCCATTGGAAGTCCACGAAGCATGTCACATATTCCCAATAGCTAGGGTACCATCCTGCATCTTCCCAATCTACCACAGCAGAGACTTCGAATTTTCTCGGTCCGGAGTCGCTTGCCGGGATCTCTAGCACAAGTATGTTCTTGCGCTGTAGATCCGCATGCGTAAAGACGCTTGGATGGCCGGTCAGTGTATTTGGTAAATTCCGAGCAAAAAACTCTGTCATCCATCCGCGTTGGTTATTGTGTTCCCAGACCTTCTGTGACCGTAGCGCAAGGGCCATGTTAAGATCTTCTTCTTTCTCGAATGGGCCGTTAATTCTCGGATCAGGTTTTATCCATTTGAAAAAACGGTGTCTCAAGGGACCCCCTGTGACGTTTCCAAAGATGCCGGGTGATGGGACAGACCGTATCTGGTCCCATATCTTCCTGAGCTGTCCACATATGTCGAGAATGTCATCATCACTCAGACCATCCCACACTTCACGGAGCTGTCTTCCTGGCTTTAACTCCATGACGATGTAGAGCTTCTCATTCTCTCGGTACATGGCGTAGAGACGTGGAACTGGCAGAGAGTGGTGCTTTTCGAGATAGAGTAGTGCTTGACCTTCATTTTCTGACACATAGGTACCGTATTTTACGACGGAATAGTCGGCGACGATGACTGTGCGTCTATACGGCGGGCTATGGATAGAAGAAAGGGTCTCGGTTGCGGCTTCGATCGCCGCTGTCGTCGGTAGTGGAGCTGGCAACTTCTCAGCACTGCAAAAATACGGAAGTAGAGTAGTATCAGGTAACATGGCTATTATAGTGTAGTGCGAGCATAGAGACTCGCGACGAAAATGCGCTATTATTGTATGTGCTCAATGAAAGATGAAAAATGCTTGATTTCAACCTTCTATCTTCTGAACTGTTGGTAACAGTTTGTTGCTACCCTTCCCACCGCCACGATGAGTCAGCAGACTCCTTAGTTTCTAGCCGTAGAGCATGGATCCACCATCTGAGAACATACCTGAGGGAGGTAACCTAACTCGTATGTTACTGGGCAGGCTATACCAGTTAAGAAGGTAGTAGACGTAACGAATGTTCCTCATTGGAATTTCCACTCAAGTGACCACGTGAGAGGTGAATGAGCGCCTTCTCAAACCGGTAACGGTAAAATCTCTTCTCTCATGTATGAAGCGTAGTTAAGTCCATCTTAGAAACACGTCTGGCTGAAATGGATGTAGATATAGTTAAATCATCGCAGACTCATTATCGAGATAGTTCAATTACTCACATATACTGCAGATAACTCTCGTCATTTGATATCCCCGATCGAGTTAATACTAAGTGACGTGACCGATTGCAGCGCGATTCAATTTAGGCGGTGCAGGGGTCGCGGATGAATACCTACAGACTCCCTATACCATGGTACCTTATGCGTTGGATACTTCAGGATAGATAAGCTGGATCAACATTATCGTACACGTGGCTGTAAAAGGAAATCATGTTAAAATGCGGAGAAAATGCAGTTGGACCGAGTAGTGAAATTGCATGCTTGGTGAGGCCGATAAAAACTCCGCCAGCTTACACGTTATAACTTCGCAGTAGTTCACTAAGGCGATCTAGCGTTCCCTGGTTTAATCTCCTGCGTATACTTTACGTATATAACCCGGGACGACGTCGAACAGGAGACTATTCATACGGGTATAGGTCTAGCATAGCAATCATTCCCCTGCGGATACGGCCACGTACCAAGGTATTCCGAGTCACCTCAAGCTAGTAAAAGTAATCACAGGGCAATTGGTCGTGGAGGTGACAATTGGGCATCATAAACTCTCAAAGTACTGGAAAAGACCGACCTGGGTATGCCGCTCGGAAAGGGGCCTGCGGATCCGGTGGATAAACCCAAGCATGGTGAGCATGGCGTGGGGTCGACGATTAAGAGCCACACGGTGTCGTCGACGTCGCGCCAGACTCTGAAGCTCGATCCTGAATATGCGCGATGGACAGCGCCGTTCGGCGACAAGACGCGCGTACCACCGTGCGACACGCCTCTCGCATTCCGTCAGTTCAACGATACTTTTGTGCGTGTTGCGTGGGCGCTGCTCCCACCACAACCGAGTATCATTCAGACACGGCATAGATGCACCTCCTACGACGGAGTGGAGGTCGACATCGTGCGGTTCGCCACGACGGGACAGATGAACAGTGGGGCGACACCACAGCCAGCAGTACTATACCTGCACGGTGGCGCCATGGTTGCTATGAGCGTCGATATCTTCGCGCCGCGACTAGCTATTCTGGCGGCTGAGTCGGGGGTGCAAATCTTCGCCGTCGAGTACCGTCTAGCACCCGAGCATCCACATCCGACACCAGTTGAGGACTGCTACGCGGCCCTGTCATGGCTCTCCACACACGCGATAGAGCTCCAGGTCGACCCGACGCGTATCGGCCTCGTGGGCGACAGCGCCGGCGGAGGACTCGCCGCAGGCACAGCGCTCATGGCTCGTGACCGTCGGCTCAACCCGCCAATCAAGAAGCAGATCCTCATATATCCCATGCTGGACGACAGGTCCACCGCAGCGTTATCCCGCACCACTCCTGCTAGCCCGCTGGTGGACTTTGCGACCATCCCGCTTCCTATCATCACGATGTGTTGGGAGGCGTACGTCGGCAAGGAAAATCCGGGCAGGGCTGATGCGGATGTAAGCCCGTACGCGGCGCCGGGGCGAGCAGGCGATCTGCGAGGACTGCCGAGCACGTATATAGACGTGGGCGGGTTGGACCTATTTAGGGACGAATGCGCGTCGTTCGCAGCGAGGCTGGCTGCTGCAGACGTCGAGGTGGAGTTTCATTTATTTCCTGGGTTGCCTCATGGCTTTGATTCAGCTAGCGACATCGGTGCTACTAAACGAGCAGTCGAAGGACGAATTCGATGGATGAGGGATTTGTGATACAGGTGGAATGGCAGTTGAATAGCAATGCCCGTTGTCTCAATAAAATTGTTAAGAGCCAATGGAGCCAAAGGAAAAAAGAAATAGATCGCAAAAAGCTGGTTGCCAATCCCGGTGAACCAGGATTGCATCAGGAATTGAGCCCGATGCGGGGGTCGAACCCGCAACCTTGAGATTACTGGGTAGTAAGAGTCTCACGCTCTACCGATTGAGCTAACCGGGCAGGCTGCTGCCTGCTGCGTTGGAAAGTGCCGCCGTATTGGCAACTCTATAGCAAACAACACAGGGAAGGTGCGATAGTCATATCGATAAGACAGATAACGAGTTGTCTACAGCGCCGTAATCTTTTAACGAAGAGTGTGCAACAACAACTGAGGCGAGGTCGGGCATAATAGGAAGATACAGGTAGGATTGATCTTTTGCGTTTGATCCCAAAGGGTCTTACTAGTATTGCATGTGGGATCTAAGCAGAAAGAAAATATGCATATGAATCGCTTGACCTATAGACACCGGGTTCAAGAAGAAGAGCTTCCTCCTCTAACCCTCAAGGGAGTCTGATATAACTACCTCTTTACTGGCTTGGTGAGACATCCTTGTGCACCGAAGAGAGGTTGCTACATGCAAATACATAACACATCCCATATACTACAAAGGCACAACCTCCTTCCCAACCTCCCGCAGCGCCTTCACCAAGCCCTCCACGGTACCCTCCAGCGTCTGGCAGTTGACCACAACGCGGAACAAGCTGCCCTTCTCGCCGGGTGCGTAGTCGATCATGAAGCCCCTGGACACCAGCCTCGCCACCATCTCCCTGGTCCTGCGCGTGTTTTCCTCGGGGTCACTCGCCGGCGCGCCGCCCGGCGCGTAGTAGAAGCACACCTGCAGGCAGGGCGGCGGGTTGCTCGACAGCAGGGCGAAGTCGCCGGACTGCTGCACGAGCGTCGCGAGGTGCGCGGCCGCGGCGAACGCCCCGTCGACGCGGCGCGCGAGGCCCGTCTCGCCGTAGTAGACCCACGCGAGCGCGAGGTTCAGCGCGTCGCCGCGGCGCCCGCACTGCAGGGTCAGGTCCGCCAGGTCCCAGATCTCGTCGCTGTCGCTGTCGCCGTCGCCGTCGCCGGGGTCGTGGAACAGGTAGCCGGCGCGCAGGGTGTTGGCGCGCTGGAACACGGACACGTCGCTGGTCAGCAGGAACGAGCAGGGCACCGGCACGTTGAGCATCTTGTGCGGGTTGACCGTCAGCGAGTCGGCGTGCTCGGCGCCCGCGAGCTTGTGCCGCTGCGACGGCGAGAAGATGGCCGGACCGCCCCACGACCCGTCGACGTGCAGCCACAGCCCGGCCTCCTTGCAGATGGGCGCGATCTCGGCGAATAAGTCGTACGAGCCCCACACTGTCGTCCCTGCCGTGGCGTTGACGTAGAGCGGCGTCTTGCCCACGTCCCTGGCACCCTGGATAGCTTCGCGCAAGGCCGACGGAACCATGCGGCCGGCCGAGTCGACGGCGACTTTGACCACGCTGTCGGACCCCATGCCGCACGCCACAGCGGCCTTTTCTACCGAGTAGTGCCCGTGCTCGCTGGTGAAGAGGGCAAACCGGTGACCGGCATTGCCCGAGGTCTTGGTCTCTGGGAAGAGGGTGTTACGAGCTATCACGAGCGAAGTCAGATTCGAAGCGCTGCCACCTTGGCAGGTGACGCCGCCTGCTCTAGGACCTTTAAACCCGAAAAGGGTTGCTAGCCTCTTCGCAACGGTCTTCTCGATAATCGTGAGTGCCGGCGAAGTCTTGTATATGTGCACCTATACGGAATTAGATTATCAGGACGGAGCTGAGGGAGAAAGTGGACTTGCATTGGTGTTTAACACTGTTAAGACCAGTTCAGATGCTACTCCGACCTACATAATAGGAATTAGTCCTACTCATCTATCATTAATGACTATCATCGAATATGGAGACACCCACCGGGTTGATGCTGGAATACAACTTATCCATAAACCCCTGATCCCAAGTATTCACACTGTAACGCAAGATAGTCTGAACGATGTCCAGAAAACCCTCTCTTCCAACTCCTTCCTCAGGCATGGATATGTTTAGTTTCTTTACGAGTTCTTGGGGCTTGTGGAAGTCCACTAGAACGTTTCGCCCCGGCGCTCCCTGAGAGTCCGTGGCTATGTAGCCGCTTGCTCGACTTGGTGCTGCATTGTCTGCTTCCCGTATGAAGGGTACGACGAGGGATTTGATTGCATCGATTAACTAGGAATATGTCAATTACTCTGACCTCCAATTGTGGCACCAGTTGATACCAAGACATCTGGATAGGGGTATTCTCCTCACTTACATCTTCAACTTCACCTGCCCTATTCAGCTGTGCTTCCTCAGGGCCGTTGTGACCGTTGACTCTGGTATGAGAAGACATCTTCAAAGTTACAAAAAGAGAATATGACCAGATGAAGTCAAATAAAATAAACAAACGACAGAAGATATCTAGTTAACCCCCATTTGTCGGGTAGATGCAGCTTTCATATTTGTCTGTCTCGTGGTACCATGATATTTTCGGGCTGCCTTTTCCGTACTTCTTGAATAGGCGAGACTCCACTCCATCGGACGGGTTTCTTGAACTACTATTTGATGACGATTGCGTGCTTCCCGAGCTTCTAATGCAATAGTAATTCCTAAGTTAATTAGTAGTCGACTATGAAAGAAACTAGCGCATTTTCGTTAGCTGACTTGAGAGGAACTACTATATGAATGAGAACAGCAGAGTAGCGCTGTTGTATGAATCCTCGACTGTTCAGTCCACAATATTCTGGTCGATTTGATGGAAGGGACCGGAATTTTTGTTTCGATAGCCCCCCTGGGTATCGTGAATTAATTTCATACTAACTCGCATAAATGCCATGATTCCCTTAAGTCGCCAAATACCTGAAGCTCATGCAGTGTGATCCGACCTACTATACGCCCGAGAAGAAGAAAAAAAAGCGGTATCATTCAATCAGTCCATCCGTTGCATCGTATTCTCGTAGTGCTCTTAGTCGACACGCTTCTTGGTATCTGGCGATTCTCCTCCGTTGTGCTCGGACGCTTTCCCATTACTGGCTCCTATGTCACCATCGCCTTCATCTTCGTCCCATGCGTCCACCGCATTTTCGTCCCAGTTGTCAACTTCCTCCTCTAGCGTAGCACTTCGTTCGTTTCCGGCCGCCGACATTACACCCTCCTCTTGGGGCCCGATACCCTCGCCCAACTCGAGGTCACCATCGTCTTCGCCGGGGACGGCGTTGTATTGCCTGCGCACTCGCTTTCTCTCCAGCATCCGCAGGTGGTACCAGGAACATAGCCCTAGCGCGGCTAAGCTACCAACGATATTGGCGATAATGTCGTAGGGATCGAACTCTCGGCCGTTGGGTAGGAAACCTTGGAGGAATTCGGAGCCGACGCCGAGACATAGGGTGCATACGACAACGGTCAGGTTGAGGGTGCGACGGCGGTTCGTATCGATAATCCAGTAGAAGGCGGTTGTTAAGAGGAAGAAGGTCAAGAGGTGTAGGACTTTATCGTTGACGACGGTGTCTAGCTGGAGGGACGAGAGCCCTGCATAGCCCGCAAGGAGGCATAGCAGGAAAAAGACGCCTGCAAGTATATATGTTAGTTCGCGATTTGCTAAGCGTATTGAAGCTCAAGCGTATGGCATTCTTGAAGCTTGAAGCTTGTGGTGGAGGATTCAAGGGGAGCTCCGGCCTGCCGGCATGCCGAACAACCAAACGTGAGCGAAGAAGCAACACAACTAACCTGCAAAGGGCAGACGAATGCGCATGTTCGAGTTTATGTGTATTCAGGCCGTAATAACTTGCATGAACATGATTTCCAACGGAGTCGTTAACAGGTTAACAGGTAGAAGATTTGAAGTCGGACATGAAAGGTGTAAGGTGTTGAAGCGAAAAGCGCAAGGCCGGGGTGAGCTTCAGTTCGAAGAGAGCAAACAATCTGACAGTTTTAGCACCTAAAGGCCAAGTCTCCACCTTTTCTTTTGGCTTTCGTCACAGTCCAGTGACTTCCAGGCCAGCCAGCCAGCCAGCCAGCTAGCTAGCCCGTGCTGAAAAAACCATGGAAGGCTGTCCAGGTGGGGCTTACCGAAGGGCTGAATTACCTAAGCCTGTAACAACCCGTACCCTTATTATCTGCAGCTGGCCGCCTTCAGCAGGGGTAGGGAGCATATTTCCCCACTTGCATCAGATGAGGTCGAGGTTCTCTCCACAGCTCTAGTATAAAGGCATGCAGGTCTTGGTAAAATGCATATATGCACATAACTTACTATTTATAAATGGGAGTCGATTAGCCTTGAAGTAGGTATTTGTCTGATCGCATTTTTGATGTTACATAGTCCTTGGTATAACTGCGTTCTTCTAATTGTTAAGATCTGAACGAATTCTTACATAATGTGGCTGTGAGTAGAACTGTGGCTACAGATGTGATTACCTAAGAATCATTCGATGCAACGGCGGACAACTGAATTTGGCCGCTTGCGGGGACTTGGATCAGTACTAGGTACCTAGGTACTTCCAATCAAGTATTTTATAATCAACCTGATACAAACCGTCGAATGTTAAAGATGAAGATGCACAAACAATCTTTTTGAAGGACAATGGGGAAATAACCTTCAGCTAATTAGCGCACTATTAACAGACATCAAGAAGCGAATTGGCTTGGTAGAATCAGTGCATGGGTACTTTAAGACGTGGTCGACGTAAGAGGCACTTGTACTATTTGGCGGCTCAATTGGTATCTGTAAGGTTTCTCGGCGAAACTTGAAAGCACAGGTACAAAGCGCTCTATAAATTGCAAGTAGGCGGGGGATAAAAAGACCAATTACAGTGGATGCTAGCATTCAATCCATTCAGTGTTCTTTCTCCAGTCGGCTATCCCCTACGTGAATTGTACGGTACACTAGTAAAGGCGGTAGAAATAAAGTGTTGCCAAGTACCTACAGCTGTAGTACCAGACCCTTTTAGTGGATTTAGTACGGGCGAGGTACACTTGTGCTTAGTGCCATTACTGGGATCCGCTCAAAACCTCACGGGGCACTTCGCCGTAACTTCACCCTTTGAAAGTACGCGAAATCGCCTGCGACACGACCCATCGAGGCATCACCATTCTTATCGATTTTCTTTCAAAAACCTCATCGGCCATCTAATTCGATGTTGCTCGCTTCTCCCGTATCAATATAGGGA